GGGGGGGGGGGGGGGGGGGGGGGGGGGGGGGGGGGGGGGGGGGGGGGCAGGCTGAAAAATACCGTCAAGGTATCGAAAAACACAGCCCAGCAGTCAAACGAAACGTGTAATAAAACAACAAAGATGTATCAGTATCTGACATGGTACTCAATAAAGACGTGGTCGAGATGACACTCCCCAACAGCGCAAACCCAGCGGTAAACGGCGTGCGAGGACTTTCAAATAAAAAAATCGGTTGCCGCACCACCGATAGACTATCTTCACTCCCCCCTAGGTGCTCTCAAGCTTCCCAGATCACAACCATAAGCACACACAAGTGGCGACGTAGTCATACGTGAGGGTAACATAACATGTGTATGCAGCATGATATACTGCAGGAGAAGGTGAGCATCATAGTATGTAGGTGAGGCGGCAGAAAACACGTTCGTGGGACGTTTCACACAAAACGGCTCTATGTAGCGCCTGTGCATGTGAAACGGCCCCGTACTTCGCGGGGGAGGGGGGATTGAGAGAGAGGTAAGGACTTACCGAGCCCGTCGAGATCTCGATCACCGCCGAACCCATGAGGTGCCGCGGCTCCGACAGCGTGTGCTCTCCCCAGGTGGCGAAGCTCCACGTCGACCCGTCCCACACCTCGGCGCGGTCGCTGTTGAAGCCGGCGCCTCCCTCTCCCATCGAAACCTACCCCACGTCGGCAGTAGAGGATTGGGGTATGTGTGGGGGGGAGTGCGTGAAGGGGGGGGGGGTATGCACGGCAACCAAGCTGTGCTTTGTGTGTGTTGTACTGTAGGCGATTACGAGCAACGGCAGAGAGGCTAGTAACGCCAGCAACAATAGCAACTTCAGCAAAGAATATCAATACAAGGCAACAACACCAACACCGCCACTACCACCAACAGAAACAGAAACAGAGACAGAGATACCACTGCCACCAACAGCAGCAGTAACAACAGCGTCCGCCCAACTCCTCACCCGTCCCCCCGCGAACACGCACTGGTGCTTGAAGCAGCAGGATGTCATCTCGAACCGGGGAGGGTTGGGCAGGCGCGGTACGGGAAGCGTGGCCACCTTGGCCTGGCGTTCCACCAACGTGCACCGAAGAGAAGAAACAGGACCGCGTTCCACACGGGAAACACACGGATACGTCGTGCGGAACGAAATATGGAAGGCAAGGAGGACGGCACAAAATCAGCAACAATACAGAAGCGAAGTTAAGAGTATAAATTATGCAGCGAAAAAAAAATCCAAATTGCATGTTGTTCTTCAAAGCGCCGACAGCAGCGACGCCGATAGGAAACACGGACTGACTGACAAGCGAGCGCAGCACTCGCGATGGAGGTCGACGGTAGAGCTCGCAGAGTGAGAATGCCATCCAAGTTCCAGGAGATACCACACCCGGTGGACCGATTTTCAACGTTCGATTGCTCCACAACGAAGAGGATGCCACAAAAAAAAAAATGCATCTGGAGAACGCTCTCGACGAAGCGAGGTTCCAACGTCGCTCGCCATCATTGGCACCGTCATTGTTCCCCTAGCAGAACAATCGAGCTTTGATAATCTCTTCAAGAGGGTGTGGGATCCTATGTGGCTACAGAACCTCTCAGTAGTGACACCGAAGATAAACAGCTCGAATATAAACAGCTGCCACACCTTCGAATGACGACCCGAAACACCTCGAGGGCGACTTTTTCCCACTTTCGAAGCGAGTCCCCATTAGCCCCGACACAAGCATAGAAGAACTGCTCACTGACACACACACATCTACTCCCATTGCGATTTCACCAGCCGAAAATAGCAGTGCCCAAACAGAGCAAACAAAACTACCATTTACTGGAAACATGCTTACGCCGAGTACGGCATTGGCACCCGCGCTGACTTGGATCAAGTCGAGTTACAACAGAGCTGAGGACGACTCTAGTGTGCTTACGGCAGCCGCCCGTCCGTCCATGATCATGATCCCCCACTCACGGAACCCCCTTCCTTCGGGCCTCTCGGAGGTCACCATATACCCGTCCGTCGTCATCCGACCTGCGGTGCCGCCGTGCCCCCCGCCCCCCCTCCCCCCCGCCCCCCCCCGCTAGAGGGTTGCTCAATACCAAGCAGCAGCTACTCCGTCCACCTTACGCCGACGCCCGCTATGCATACGACCCGAGCACCCCCGGTTGTCAGCCTTCCGCACCCGGCCCTCCTCCTCCAACCGACCGAACAAGACCAGAAAAAAACAAACTGCGGAGATCCCCGTCACATGAGGTTACACACAACCGTCGTGTACAATGCCCTCGTTTCACATCCCCGCAAAGGCCACATGCGTAGCTTACCTCGCCGGTGGCCTCGTCGATTCCATCATGCCTGAATATGTCTACCGTCGACGTGGCCGTGTATTGGCCTCCCCCTTCCCCGCCCCCCGTGGGTACAATGCCTCCGGCCACGAGGACGTGCGCCGTCGGCGCCCAGGCGGAAGGGTCGCCCTCGTCCGGGGACCCCGTGAAAAATACCCCCACCGTGGCGGCGTACTTGGGTTCGCACAGTCTGTTGTCGGCCACGGAAAGAAGGCGTCCTCGTCTTTGTTGGAACCGGGTAGGGATGTTGAGCAGAGACCGGAAAGGTTCTTAATGGAGAGATACATAACAGAAGCAGCAGCACCCGCAATACCGGCGTCAACTTGTTCCCCTCTGTTTCACCCCCCTCCTGTCTACAACCTGAACTACTTAGGACAACAACTGCGGAACACCCCACAAATGAAGTCTCACGTCGTGCAGTGCACGTCAAAACACGGGAGTCTTCATATGGCGCAGGGAAGACACGGCGTGTTCCACAGCAAAAGACGACACATAGACTATGCAACGCGAAAACCAGCACGAAAAATAAGTAAGAAAAAGAGGAGAACTAGATACCATACACTCTGGGGGTCCAAACGTGACCTACTTAAGCGTGGACAACCGCGCAGTTGACGGCTGAAACTCACCTTACGGCGTCCGGAGGAAGAAGCGACAGCTTCCCTTTCCCTTCTTGCGCCCCATCACCGCCGCCGCCGCCGCCACTCCCCAACAAAAACACATCGACCGCGTCCGTGGCCTGACAATTCTTGAGCAGCAACGGCACATTGGGGTCCGCTCCGGGGGGCACGTCAACGGCAACCCCACCCTCGCTCTCCCCACCACGATCTTGAACGATTGTAGGCCCTGAGCTTTGGGTCTCTTGTTGGTTGTCGTCCCCGACGTCCTCCATGCCGCACCCCCCGGCAAAGAACACCGCACTGCTTGTCCCCCCCGCTCCCATGTCGGTCCTGGCGACTCTAAGCCTTGTTGGTTGTTTCGTGTTGTGATTATCGGGCGAAAGAAGGCGGGAGGTTGGCACGGGGGGGGGGCACAGTGTCGTTATGCCGGTATTTTTTTTTTATTGCTGCCCGGGGACACGTTTTGCCCAAATTCAGAACGCCTTGCGAACCATCACCAAACAATAGGGCCACACTACACGCCTCGATATGGCACTTTGTTGTTGGTAGATATCTCAACGCATAGAGCTTGAACCCCAGATGCCACTTCGAGGGTGCCAGCTGTAGGTGCGAGACACAAGGATTGTTCATTGTGACAGTAGCCGAACCGCTGTCGTCAATTGATGTCAGGCCCCAAAACATCTCTCCACTCTGTCTCGCTGTCGTTTGCTCCCTTTTTTTTTTTCCTTCCCCCCTGGGACTGCTCCAAGTCTCAGCGTGTTGTTTTTTTGTTTGTTTTTCTCCCATCATTGGACTCTGTCGTCTGCCCCTCTGGCCCCTATCCTCCACTTCTACTAGCTAGACGACCCAACCGGGGTCACATAGGAGGGGGGGGTTGGACCCCCTCCTGTGGTTCATGCCTGAGGTATTTTTATCGCGAGAAGGGTACAGCAATCCCTTCCCTCGCGACTTACGAAGTCGATTATGATTTACTAACAAACGAGCTTTGCAGCGCGTCGCTTTCATCCTAGACCAGGATCTATTTAGTGAGAAAAAAACTCTCTCTGCCGGGACTCGAACCCATGACCTGGCCCTTAGCAGGCTGCGAGGCTACCCACTAGACCACCGGAGCGACCGGTTCGCGTGTGTGACCCTCGCAACAAGCACAGACCTGCGAAACACTGGCGGAAAACTGCTATACAGCGTCTAGTATGATGTGTAAGTACTGTGTGGTCTTGTTCCAGCAGCCTACATAGACCCAGGGTGGCGTCAGGTGGGTGTAAGTGCGCCAAACCACTTGCCCGGGGACGATATGGAAAAAGCCCCACATCGGAAAAACGCTTGATTACTGAGACAGTACTTCTCCAACGTTGTTTTCCCGACCCAAGACGCCACACACCCGCTTTTCCCTTCGTCTCTTCAGCGGGGAGGACTTATCAGTACTATAGCTACGCGGAGGAGCCATTATAGTTGACGGTGGTGGGTTGTAGTGGCGGCGGTGCCGGAAAAAGTGACAAACACCGTAAATGACACAAGATAACACACCCCCTGGACCGATCTTCAAATATCGAATTCTCAACATCGGAAGGAGTCGCGGCGCTCGAAACGGCGGCGTTGGAACCGTCTCGTCGAGAGCTTTCCAAAAATGTATCGTTTCGTTTATGCATCCTCTTCGTCGTGGAGTAATCGAGCGTTGAAAATTGGTCCAGGGGGGTGTGTTATCTTGTGTCATATACGGTATATAAAAAGAAAAATCCCGGCATAACGACACTGGGCATGGGACACTTTTCTCTGGGTGGTCCTCATTGTGGCGAGAGAGACAGCGAAAGAGACAGAAAAAAAAATCCACTGCGCGCGCTACATCAGTACAGCAGTCGTGTAATGCAGAGAGTTTTCTCGGCATTGTTGTTGCAGGCAGAGGGTCCTCTAAGCATTGTTGTTGGGAAGGGAAGGGAAGGAGGGAGAGGATCAGGATTCCACGCCAACTTGAAAGCGCACAAGTTTTCGCGGCATCGTGGTGGTGGCTAAATTTTGCAGAAAAAGATGACAAAATTTAGGCTCACATTTTTCATTCTCCGGGCAATCATACATCGTTAAGAGAAGTATACAAACCCCAAGCAGTACCTCGGCGTCAGTGCCATGGCGCGATACCGCGCAGATTGCACGAGATACAGCTCGACAACTCTGCCGCGAACATTCGTAAAATCAGTTAAGGCGCCGAAAAAGCAGCGGCGTTGGAACCGACTCGTCGAGAGCGTTCCGAAAGCGCCGCCTTTGATTTTGGCATACACTTCGTCGTGCGGCAATCGAGCGTTAAAAAATAGGTCAATGGTGCGTGCGATCTTATGTCACCTAAGATACCTTCCTTGAAACTTAGCATGTATCCTCGTCGGTTCGTCAAGGGCTTGTCGGTATTTGTTCAAAACCCGCCAATCCAGAGTTATCTTCGCCAGTCTGAAACGGAACCACCGGCATGTACACAGCGTAAGTGTACCGCCGTATGTATGCATTAGGCACCAAGAGGTGATGTGTGCCTGTAGTGCCTGGAAGCTCGAAAGTCTTCGGAACGACGGTACTGCGCATGGCCCTAAAGGGGGCACACCTCCTTCAAGCATGGGCATCGTGCTTGCGTGGTGTCGCCGTGCATGTTTTTATACCATCATGAAAATACGTGGAGGGAAGACACAAGAACATACGCACATACACCGAAGCACCATTCTTGTAAGCACTATAGCACTACTGTGTTGTGGTTGTAAAGTCTGGTCTGGTTGTCGTTACAGGTGGTGGTGTCATGTTGACCTTTCAAACCGCACGTGATGGTGACCTTTTGTTTGGCGGACTTCCCTCAAAATCGAACACTATCCTATTTCAGATGTGTACGTATGGACACAGGGCACGTTTGAACGAGGGTTTGGTGGGGGTTGGGTGGGGCAGGTGCGGAGCGCCGTGTTGCTTCAGAGTCTGCAGCAGTGGAAGTCAAAACAGACTATGGAGCGAAGACTCCAACGTTGTTGTTGTTGTTGTTTTCTTCGCATTAAACTCGTGTCAGTTACTTATTCTCCCAAAATATAGCAAAGACTCGGTCCGTGGTCACAAAAATGCTAGAGCCATCAGAAGATCTAAAGAACACACACTATTAGCAAGACAAGGGTACACAAGCCCGAGGAGGTACACCTGCAATTCCTGCAGCACGTTTCCGTGCTCACAACTGAAGTACACGCCCACACCCTACTATTCGACTACAGCAGCAGCATCACCCCCCTTGTCCCGCACTCAACCAAAATGAATGTTCGTCGACTACAGCGTACTGCTGTCTGCACAATAATAACACCAAGGTGCATGGTACACAAGCTCGGAGCATGCAGCTGCTGTCTGAACTGCTGCCAGAATGCGTCCCTCTTCATTCCACACAACCACCATCATTGCAATTGAAAATCACCCGAATCTATCTATCCAGATCATCTGTGATAGACACTGCAGTGTTAACATCGACACTGACTAGGACTCGTTCCACATTGAAGGGGTCTTCCACGATGCAGGTACACAATTAAGGCACCCGGGATATCCGCGCCATCTCTGCCGCGTCTCTCTACAAAACCAGTGACGTCATCGCACACACCCAACACCTGTATTCAGGGAAAAAACCGGAAAAAAAATGACAAGAGATGTTTGTCGGTGCGTCACGGTTCGATGCCGTCCACATGCTCCGGTTCCGCTTACACGGCGCCGCCGCTCCGGTGCCGCTGTGGCCGGTCCTGCAGCGACCAAACTCGACCCGCTCCGCTTCGTACACACTCTCGTGGCTGTCCTTCCCAGTCGGTTCCTCGCTTTCTCCCTCGTTGCACTTAGGGTTCTTGGTCTGAAAATTCTCGCGTCGAAGGTTCAACCAGCCCAATCAGCTCGTCACCACCTGTGCCCTCCTCCTTTGATGGCAAAACCAGGTTACTGAGACAGTACAGCTCCCTCTAGCAAACCTAGGGCCGTGTACATAGTGCCCGTCCAACTTTCTGGTGGCGTCTGCCTCCGCGCACAAAGATGATATGGGCATTGCTGCCTACACCGACGGCCTGGAGGCCCGCGCATCTGCACCTTTGTACCTGACGCACCAGTGCCGACCCAACTCCACCACTGCGCACGCCTCGCGGCGGGTGCGCCGCAGCAAGAAGGTATCGGTCCCTTGAGGGTGAATCTAGCCCTGCTCGCTAGAAAGACCCCCTCCCCTCGTCATCGGGGTTGGGTTTTCGTCGCTTGGCAACAACGTTGTAAAACAAGCCGCCAGCCCCCCCCGGTGCTTGCCATCGGGATTGGGTTTTCGTCGCTTGGCAACGACGTTGTAAAACAAGCCAATTCACTTCGTGAACTCGGCAACCAGGT